GGCTCGAGAAGTGTCGGCTCGGGTTTCGCTCTCTGAGGGCCCCCTCGTGGGGCCGCTTTGGGGGCGCTCTTGGGGCGCTTTGGGGCGCCTCTCGGGCCGTTTTGGGCGCCTCTCGGGTCGTGTTGGGGTCCCGTTGGGCCGCCTTGGGGCGGTCTGGGGGGGCCTCTTGGGGAGTCTTGGGGCGCTCTTGGGAGGGCTGCTCTTCAAATCTAACGACCCCGACCTGTCGGGTGGGCACATCCGCACTCGTTTGTAGCCCCGTCGGGGGCTCCACCGAAGGCTTCAGTGGCTGCGCTTGCGCGGCGCCACCAGACCCATTTCGGCACACCCGTCGCACGCTTCGTGGCCCCATAGGGAATTCCTCCGGAGGCGCCAGTGGCTGCGTTCGCATGACGCCACCGTACCCATGTCAGCACACCCCTCACACGCGTCGTTGCCCAATAGGGGGTTCCACCAAAGGCCCCAGTGGCAGTGTCCGCACGGCGGCGCCACAAATTTCGGCACCCCTCGCACGTTTCGCGGCCCCATTGGGAACTCCACCGAAGGCCCCAGTGTCCGCGCCCGCATGACACCACAACGCTCATGCCGGCACATCCCTCACACGCTTCGTGGCCCCATAGGGAGTTCCGCCGAAGGCCCCAGTGGCTGCGTTCGTACGCCGCCACCGCACCCATTTCGGTACACCCCGCACACGTTTCGTGGCCCAAAGGGAGCTCCACAGAAGGCTCCATTGGCTGCGTTCGCATGCCGCCACCGCACACATGTCGGCACACACCCCACACGTTTCGTGGCCCGAAGTGGAGCTCCACCGAAGACCCCGGTGGCTGCGCTCGCATGGCGCCATCGCACCCATTTCAAGACACCCCTCACACGCTTGGGGGCCCCAGAAGGAGCTCCACCGAAGGCCCCAGTGGGCCCCAAAAGGAGCTCCACCGAATGCCCCAGTGGCTGCGCTCGCATGGCGCCACCGCACCCATTTCGGCACACCCCTCACACATTTCGACCCCAAAGGGAGCTCCACCGAAGGCGCCAACGAGCGCTCGCATGCCGCCACCGCACCCATTTCGGCATTCCCCTCACACATTTCGTGGACTCATAGAAAGCTTCACCAAAGGTCCCAGTTGCTGCGCGCGCGTGGCACTGCCGCACCAATTTCGGCACTCCCCTCACACACTTCGTGGCCTCATAGGGATTTCCACCGAAGGCCCCAGTGGCTGCGCTCGCATGACACCACCGCACCCATGCCGGCACACCCCTCACGCTTCATGGCCCCATTGGGAGTTCCACCGAAGACGATACCAACAATTGAGTTGTCCCCAATTGTATCTGGTTGGGTCCTTCGCCTGGATAATTATGTAGAGGTTGTGTTGGCAGCCCGTCCGCAGCTATACCATGTGTTGAACGGCGCCTGTGTTGTCGCAAGTGGGAAGGGTTGGTCACAATTGGTTGCGATCGGTGGCAAGTGGTTGAGATCGGTCCCATGTGGTTGCGATCGGTCGCCATCGCCTGGGGGGTGGGGAGCGGCCAGCGCGAGCCGCTTGGGGGCGTTTGAGAGGCCTCTCTGGCCGTCTTGAAGCTATTCGAGCCTCTATGGCCTCCCTGGCCGTTTGTGAGACCGTCTTGGGAGCCTCTTTCGGCCTCCTTGGCCCGTCTTTAGGCTCCCGGGCTTCAGAAAAACTCACGCGAGAAACCCCGAGAGATCTGCGGGAAGCCCCAGGGGCGCCAAGGAGCGCCTGGAATTCGGAGTTGTGAGCCGTTTAAACAGGATTACAAGATTCAGCACAGAGGATTCGAAGCACTTGAGAACATTCCATTTCGTGCCTTGGGGCACGGTGGTGGGCTCTTCAGATAGCAGAGTTCACCGACAGCAGAATTGTTGCGCAAGTGTCTGACAGCATTAACGGCATTATGAAAACACAGTGGGAGGATCAAGGTTTATTGTGGTCAGTTCTTTGCGAGCGGTTTCAGCCCGGCGTTCCAGATGTGCCGCTTCGGGTAGTTGGCAGTGTTGGGCAGTTGCTGCGCTTCTCGAGTGCCTTGCCATTCATGCTAGCACCACGAGTGTATTGCTGACTCGACCCTACGGGTATAATCACGTGCGCATTTTTGGAAGATCCGCCGCAACGTTGTGTCAAGCTCCTCAAACGCTGAGCACGTGTTGGCTCCGACCAGCGCTCGGCGGTTCGCTCTTTCTTGTCTCTCTCTCTCTCTTTCTCTATCTCTTTCTCTTGTTTCTCTTCCCCTCTGACTACAAGCCGTTCCCACCGCCCAGCAGTGACCGAGACAGCAGTGAGTAAGAGCCTCGGCCGAATCAGGCGAGCGCACCATGCCCTGCAAAGAGACTATGTCACACGTGCATTCGCTACACTTGCACGCGAGTCTACACCATCTCGTGTCTTGTAGTCTTTCTCGATGTCCGTCGTCATGCCGCTCGCCATCACATTGCTTCTTCGACTTTGATCATCGGCTCAAGCTTGTTCGGCTTTGTAAAAGGGGTGAATCGTTACAAGCCTTGAGCTTGTATTTGAGGGGTGGGGTTTGAAGTTGACGACAAGATAGCGCACGCGTCGTGACCGAACCCTACCAGGAAATGGCGACAGACGTAGGCATGTTGCAGGTGCATTGTTGGCCACATCCCAACATGAAGCTTCCGTTCGATGTTGACAAGTTCCTTGTAAAAGTCAACCCCAAGTCCTCAGTAATGGACTTGATGGAGCAAGTGGAGACCCAAGTTGAGGACATGGCACAGGAGAGCGGACGGCCAATACAAATGCAGATACAGGTAATTTGGAATTTAAAGGACAACAAAAAGCCGTTCAATCCACAAGACATGGTGGAAGATGTCTTGGTTGCTGGAGATACGTTCGGCATCTACGGGGACACGATGACTGGGCCAAGCCAAGAGCCGGCAATACCAGAGGAGGCAAAGCTTCCAGTCATCCAGGATGTTGACGCTGTTCCGCACACCTCTTCGGCAGCGCTCCCCAGCACTTCTGGAATGGAGTGGACGTGTTGCAGGAGTGGCCAGGTGTTTTTTGGGCTCTCGCGGGAGGAGAGCAGGAGAGAAACAAAGACACGAAATTGCCCAGTCTGCCTGCGCTACCCTGGACGCTCCAGCGGTCAGTTGTAACCCTCTAGGCCTCCTAGATGGGGTCGGAGTGGATTCGGAGGATCGCGCTGCATCGCCGATGTATCGACGATGCGGCTCGATCTGGAGCCCGATTTTCTCCGCGCTGGCGTCGCCTCTGCATCGCCGATGTCACCGATGCATCCCCGATGCATCCCCGATGCATCGCCGATGTGTCGTCGATGCGGCGCGATCCTCCGACCCAACCTACTCGGACCCCATCCTAGGGGGCCTCTCAACCCTTGAGCACGCCGTGGCCCCCCCAGCCCGCAAACGGCCCGCGGCCTCCTGGCCGAAGGGAGTCCCCCCCGCGGCTTCGCCCGCAATTCTCTCGCCTCTGCAGGTGTCCGGCGAGCCGGTTGGGGGAAGCCACGGGCAGGGAGCATGCCCCGCGTTGAGTGGCCTGTCTTTCACCACCATTGCCTTGGGTAGGAGAGGAAGGAGGGGGAGGAGGAGGAGGGGGAGTAGGAGGAGGAGGAGGAGGAGGAGGAGGAAGTGGAGGAGAAGGATGAGAAAACTAGATGGAGAAAGGAGCGTGCCCCACTCTGATGGGCCTGTTTTCCATTATCACTACCAGAGGTAGGAGACAGAGGAGGGGGAGGAGGAGGAGGAGGAGGAGGAGGAGGAGGAGGAGGAGGAGGAGGAGAGGAGGGAGAGGGAGAGGAGGAGGAGGAGGAGGAGGACGAGGAGGAGGAGGGGGAGGAGGGGGAGGAGGAGGAGGAGGAGGAGGAGGAGGAGGAGGAGGAGGAGGAGGAGGAGGAGGAGGAGAACGAGGAGGAGGAGGAGGAGGAGGAGGAGGACCTCCTCATCCTCCTCTCTCCCCCATCTCTGCCTTGGTGGAAAATTGGCCCATCACACTTTTCGGACCAGAAAGGGGGGGCGAAAAGGAGGAGCGGGACGATGCGGGGAGGGCTTGGAGAGGGTGGAGCGGCGGGGCTGCCAGGTGCGCTTGCTTGATCCCGCAGCGCTGGAAGGCGAAGCTACCGGGCACGTTGGACGGGGTCCGCATTCGGCCCCGAACCTTCGACCGCCCCCCGCGAAGCCCCAAGGCTTCTCCAGCGCCGTTTTTCTGCTGCTACCCGTTCCGAGGCGCGAAATTATACATGACCACCGTCTGGAGGATCAATTTTCGGGGACCTCGGCAGGCGGCGAAATATATCCATATCCACCGCCCGCTGGGGCATGAGGACGTCGGTTCCCAGGCGAGGGATATGAATAAATACCGGCCTCGCACCCGTGTAGTTCCGAATCACACACACAGGCTGCGCGAAGGGCGGGACCCAACCACATCCTCCTCAGGAGCGGCCGACGGCAATATGTCTGAAGAAGTGCGCGCGAGCTGGTCACATCGCCGGGTTTCATCCTGGCATTGGTCATTGGTCCCCCACTCACGCGCTGGTGCGTGGGCTTTCCGGCGCTGGCAGCTTAACAAAAACAGGCTCAAGTCGGGTTGCATAACACTTTGGTGTACTGACTTGCGGGAGGAGGGAGGGGAACACAATGGGGGGGAGATGGAGGAGAGGCGATAGCAAGGGAGGCCAGGGAGAGGAGGGTGAGGCAGGGAAGAGGCGAGGCATGTGGCGGATGGAGGAACAGGGGGGCAAAGAGAAGGCTGGCAGAGGGAATGACCAGAAATCAAAGAGAGAGAGAGAGAGAGAGGGAGTGAGAGAGATCAAGCAATGAATCGGCGGCATGCTTCTTGTCAGCTCGGGCGAGCTCGGGTGCGCGGACGATTCTGACAGGATTCTTAGGCTCCGGCAAGACGACTCTCCTGAATTACATTCTCCAGGAGCAGCGCGAGAAGAAGATCGCGGTCATCGAGAACGAGTTCGGAGAGATCTCGATCGACGACGCGCTGCTCCAGCAGAACAAGATGGCGTTGGCAGAGAAAGTGATCGTGATGGACAACGGCTGCATGTGCTGCACCGTGCGAGGAGACCTGCAGCAGGGCCTGGAGCAGATACAGGCCGAGGCGAGCTTGACAAAAGACTGACTTCTGTCCCTGCACTTCCCCCCAGGGAGGAGAAGGAAGGAGGAAAAGAAGGAGGAGGAGGTGGGGGAGGAGAAGGGAGAAGGAGGAAGAGGAGGAGAAGGAGGCGGAGGAGAAGGAGAAATTGGAGGAGAAGGATGGGAAACAAATGGGAAGAAACATAGAGGAGGAGGAAAAGGAGGAGGAGGAGGAGGAGGAGGAGGAGGGGGAGGAAGCGGTCCGTAGCCATTTTGGCCCAAGGCTAAACAGGTGCAGCGACAGTACATAGCGAATCCAGATTAGTTTTGGGGTATCCTGCCGTTGTTCATTTTGTGCGGTGTGGCACTGCATCTCCCTTTTGTCTGTCTCTTTGGGTGCTCATTGTGTGTGGCTGGGGCCGCACCTCTGCGAGCGAAGGACAAGAGCGATGGCGCTGTCAGGTTTTTTGCAGGAGATCTCGGTGGATCAGGCTCGCCAAACCGATTCGGCAACATACGACAGAACATGGGCGTCTAACAACCTACGATGCCGGCGGCAGCTCTCAAGGACTATGTGGATCCGATGCAGTCCGACCTCCTGTGCGAGATCCAGAACATCACGAGCCAGGTCAACACTACGCTCGCTGAAGTTGGAAATAAAAGCCCCTGCATCGTGCATTCGTCTCGCAGCAACCATCGACGCGAAGGTCACACCGATTCAGAACCAGGTCAACGCCCACAACTAGAGGATCGAGAGGCTCGAGAAGGACTGCAAGCGGCTTCGTGACATCCCCCACGAGGCGAAGAGTAGCGCGCCTGCGCCTGTGCTGCGTTCGTCAGGAGGTGATGCAGGATTTAATCGTGAGATTGACCCGTGCATCGTGGCGGTCAGGTGCAAGCTCCAGACTGCCGAGGACTAGGTCAAAGCTTCCGTCGCGCCGTGGCTTCAAGAAGGTGGGATTCCTGACAACTGACAATGAATGTTCGATCGAGGGCGAACCGACCATCAAGACATTCTCGGTTCGATCCAGCGGTGCAACAGGCTTCGCGAGGAGGCGCGCGCAGCATATTCTCACCTTTCTTCGGCCCGGTGGTCCAAACGGGGAGTGGCGACGCTTTGTTGCCAACGCGATCGGCGGGGATCTCGCGGAGGTATACGTGGGGCCCGACAGGAATCCAGCCATGGTGCAGAAGGAGATGTTCTGCAAGACCATCAAGCGCATCCAGGTCGACTCCTACCCCAACCGCGTCTTCTACGTGGACCATCTCAGAAAATTTGGCCAGCTCGAACTGGAAGCCCCTGGCGCACGCACTCCCGAAGGCAGACCAGGACACGCCGACGGTCACGTTTGCGGAGGAGAACCTGCGCGCTGAGAACAACGGGCGCAGCCGCATCGAGCCCCATCATGAAGGTTGCCCTCAGGAGCTCGCCGAACCCTCCAGCGCGGTGTCTCGAACGTGTTGTGGGGAGGCGCCGTGCGCCCATCTCCCCCCTACCTTTCGGCGGCTTGGAATGGCGCTCTCCCACATCATGCACCTGCTCGCTGGCTTGCCATGCTGCGCCTCAAGAAGCTTCCGAAGCCAGGAGCGCCCACTGCTCTGCAGGAGGTTTCTCTTGTTCCTCTTCTTGCCCTGCCTCCGAGCGAACGGGCGGCGTCGTCGCGATCCACCCCAAACTCACCCCCGCGGGGCATCGCCAGACCAGTTTGGGAGCCCCCACCTCCCAATTGCCCCCTCTATTCCCTTGGGTCCTGGGCGCGTTCTTCTCGCCTTCATTCGCGCTCGCAACCTTCGAGTCAGCATCGACCACTACAACATACATAGCCATGGTCTTTCACGTGCCAACAGACTTACCCTACTGGATCACATAAAAATAGATATAGGCGCAGCTGCTGACGACCCGTTGCGATGGCTCGCGCTGGTCGCGGGCGATTTCAATTTTGGCCACTCCCCCCCTCGTTCTCTATCTCATGACGGGCGCGCGCTTCCCCCGCGGGTTCCGCGCCCCGCGGGCTGCCGGAGCTGCGAGTCGACGGCCCCGCGCGTTACCGCCCCGGGACCAATCTTTCACCGATCGGATCCGGGCGTCGACCCTTGGCCGAGTTATTGCGCGGCATCCCAAAGGGGGCGGGGGCGGCGGGAATGCCCGAGGTGCTCTGGGCCCAGGGGGCGCTGGGCCACGCCGCCGTCTCCGCCTGCTTTCGGGCGCGCCCCCCCCCCCCCCCCGCAGGCTGAAGATAGGCCCATCCCTAAGGACATTTTCTTTTCGGCGGAGTACAGGGAATTCCTGGGCCCCGCGATCGACGCCGCCGACGCTGGCCACCCCCCCCAGGACACTCGCTCCAACATGACAAAACGCCGATGATTGAGGCGGCCCGATATGCGAGGACGACCATCATCTTTCGGACACCCAGATCGTTGGCGGCCAGAGTCATGGCCATGGGGGGGGCGGCGCGCGCAGTTTTTTCGGCGGGGTGCGCACTTGGCGTCTAAGCTGGTTCGCTCTCACTCGCTGGCGCGAGAGATGCTCGCAGTTGACGCCGTCGGCGCGCGGCCGAGCTCACTGACCCCGGCCGCGCCGCTGTCGCTCGCCCCCAACCAGCCCCAAAGCGAGGCGGCTACCCAGCAGAGGCCCCGCGCCGTTAGAGCAGCTGAGCAGCGAAGCAATAAGCACAAAGAACATGGGCCACGACAACGCACCAAGCGAATGGCCAAATTTGGAAAGCTCCGGGGCCCAGTCGACAGGAGGGCGCACTCGACGGGGACCAGGGGCACGGAGGGGGAGGGGGGGGTCTTTCACGCGCCGTCGGGGATAAACGAGCAGCCGAAGCAGCACCGGGGCCAAATCTTGACGGGCCGGCCTTTCGACGCTGAGGGACCTCGAGAGTTTCTTCGCGGGCGCCCTGCGCCGGCGCGCGCCGGTGAGATCCCGCCCCCGACCTTCGCCTCGCTTCGCGCTCGCATCCAACGTTTTCCCCGCTCCGCCCCCGGGCCAGACCAGCTCCTTCACGCAGCCCAGCAGCAGGCACCCCGCGGCGCTGAGATGTGATCTTCGAGCATGCAGCACGCGCTGGCGGGCAACACCCCCGCGGAGGATAATAATTTCCACCGCGGAGCGTTTGCTCCGAAGGCGGGGGGCGGGGGGGGCCGACGACATCTCTGGAGCGACCCGCTCGCCGAGTGAGACTCGGCCCCTGGGGCTGGAGATGAGCGGCAAAAAGTTATCGCGGGCGCGATCCTCGCGTCGCTGAGTCGCAGGGCCCCCAGGGGGCTCGACGAGATCCATCAGGGCTTCGCCCAGGGCAGGGCTCTGGGTAACAAGATTATCGGCGTTGGCTCGTCCGCTCGCGCCTTCGGCCTCAAGAACCTTTCGAAACAGCCAGTTCTCGGGCGCTACGATTTCGGCCAGGCCCCCCCGTCGACTTCCCATGAGTGGATCCTTGAAGTTGTCGGCTCGATCGAGACGCCTGACCTTTGTAGCCATGCACCATGTGCAGGGGCTCTTGCTGGACAGGTCCTGTAGCTCGTTAAGATAGCCAGCGGGGTGATCCAAGGGCGCCCTGGCTCTGGCCTTGACTCCCCCTGGGAGTGGACCCGCCCCTCCGGACATTCCGCGCAACTACCGACTCCCAGAACAAGGGGAAAACCCGAGCCTGCGCGGATGACATAGGCATGGCTACGCGCGACCTTCGGCGCCCACGGCGAATTCACTTTGTTTTGAAAGAAGTTGAGGCGATCGCCCGTCTGAGGCTGAAAACAGCCAAGTGCGTGCTTGCACCCGTGGGGTCGCCCCTCACGGACATCCTGGAGGCGAAAATCAAAAACTGGCTGGTCAACAACATCCCCGACTGGAATGGTTTCGAGGCGGCGCCGGCGGCCATGCATTTGGGCCTCTGGATTGGGCCAGGCGCGTCTTCCGAGCCCTGGGCCACCCGTCAGCTGAAGCATTTCCTTGTGCACGTTGGCGTCGCGAGAGCGAGTTCGGAGATCGCTTGCCGCACGCGCAACCGCCAATGCATTGCAGTGCTCTCGTACCCGGCCCAGCGCTTGCACTTGCCGCCCACGTTCCAAGAGAAGAAATGTACCCATTTCTCTCAGATATTCCACATGCCCCACTCCCGTCTCAAACATGCAGACTGGATTCAGTTGGAGAAGTGGCGCGGCCCGAAGTTGACGAGCACGCAAGCGCTGAGTCCGGCGTCGCTGATGAGAGCGGGCCTATTCACATTCAACGCGTGGCAGCCTGCCATGCAGGAGCTAGCGGAAAGTACTGACGCATGCTTGTCTCTGCCAGCCATCGCCAGGGGCAAGCTCTCCGCCGACTTCTGGAAGGGGCCTCCGATTGCCATGATTTTGGGAGAAAAAAATCTTCCAACAGTTCCCCCAGCAACCCCAAGTTTCGACGCCCTTGCCAGGTTGCCCTCAGGACCCTCTATCGGCTTCATCGCCAGCCCCCCGAGTTACCAGTCAAATCCTTTCATCCTCTGCGTATCTTGTACCGTGCTATTCGCGATGAACTCTACTCCGATTCGGTCCACCTCACCTTCGAGAAGCGCTTGAAACAATGAACAACAAACAACAACAAAAAACTGTGTCCAGAGCACCGTGATCAGACTGCCCAGATATTTCGGGGTCGGTTTCGATAAGTGATGGCCCCCCCCTCCTGTTCGGGGGTCGGCGTTCCTCAACCTCTGTGGGGGGTGGTGCACTGACAGCAACTTCCAGACTCAGACTAGATGCGTGCTTGTATGTGAGGGCCTCCATGATAGTTTCTCCCGCTACTGGGCGTGCCCGAAATTCGAATTCGAGGTGCGTTGGGAAAGCTCGCTCGGGCGACCCATTCCGTCCTGTAGTTTCCCCCGCGCTGGTCTTCTGAACCTTCCCCCCTTCCAAACTTGAAGCGACTGTGCACGCATATGTCCCTTC